TGTGTGCATGATATCAAATGGTTGATTATGAATTGAGATTCAATTTATTTGGATGTTCGACGCTTTAGATATGCTTACTCAGCTTCATCGCTGAGCGTGTAGTATGTTTTATTTGCTACACGCAGGTAGACAGAATGAGTGAATGGCATGTTCTTGGCAGCGGAAGGGGCGAGACAGTCGTGGTGGATTTATTGAGAAAATAAATGATTATGTTATTATGAATCCTGTTTAAAAATCGCTTCCACATTAAACACTCCGTATTTACTACAATTATGTTTGAAATTTCATTTATGGTGAATAAAGTTATTTGAAATGTTTTAAATTATACGATTACCAAGTTAATACTTTAGTTCGGAAAGGGTTGTAAACCTGGACGGATTAGGGTGTTACAGGTTGAACTAGTGGTTCGAGTGGTTGAATCAGTGGTTCAAACATTTTTAATAATAGATAAATATATAAATAACTATATATATATATATATATATATATATATATATATATATATATATATATATATATATATATAACACATACACGTTGTGGCATTGAATAAAAAAAACTAATATATGAGTAAATAAAATAATATTTCCTTTATTTATAAATAAAGAATTGATGTTTGACTAAATTTATAATTTAACTTAATTTACTTGAGTTGTGTCATTAAATAAAAAATAAAATTTACTCGTACTTATTTAAAAAAGCTTAGAAATAAAATGTGATTTGAATTTTTTAAAACATTTAACCTAGTATTTAAACATAAAGCATGTGACTTTTACAAGTATCAAATATAAGTTTTATTTACTTCCCATCTCAATAACCATTGAGACTAGATTTGTAGAAATCTTTGGAGATGAGGTTTCAAGTATTGTGTATCTAAATGCACAATCTTTTTCTTGATACAGCCAACAAAAAGTGTGTTGACAAGAGAGTGTGCAAAAAGAGCGTGACTGCCAGCAAAAAATCGAGAGAAGCTTTATGTTTGGCAACTCGGTCACTGGGCAACCAATTTGTTTGTATATTGTACTCCGTACTATATATAAAGCCCAAAACAGTTCAAGTGTTGAGGAGATAAGATTGCCGCCGGCCCCGCCGCCATGGACGCCCTCCATCATTTCCTGACAGCTCTAATTGCCCTGCTTTTGCTGCCGTCCACTGCGACGTGTACCGCCGAGGATCGGCCGCCGTGCGATTTTCCGGCCGTGTTTAACTTCGGCGACTCCAACTCCGATACCGGCGGCCTGTCGGCCGCTTTTGGCCAGGCTGGGCCGCCTCACGGAGAGACGTTCTTCGGTCATCCTGCCGGTAGATACTGCGACGGCCGCCTCAAGATCGATTTTATCGGTAATTAATTAAATTTTCCCGTCTCTTCTTCTCTTTCTTGGAAAAATAAGTTTCTTTTAGTGTTAGATTTTACGGAGTATTTTAACTTTTTGAAAAGATTAATAATGAATATTAATACTTTCTTCCAATTAATTTGTTTACTTTCAATTTATAAAAATTTAAATTTCTTTTGAGGGGATATCAAATACCCTTCTAGACCTGTCAAAAAATGACCTGACCTGTTTTTTACCCGAAAACCGACCTAAAAACACTGGGTTTTGAACAAAGGTTTTGATGATTGAACTCGAAGTTGACCGAAACTGAAATGACCCGCTAAAAATATGTCAAACCTGACCGAACTCAAACCCGACCTAACCGACTTGCTAAAGTAAAAAGTTTTCAAAATCATACACTTTACTACTCGTTTTTTGTGTATAAATTTATATTTTCAGACAAAATTTTAATGATATTGCATAATTATTTCACTTTTTTCCAAAACTTATGCATTTTTTAAATTCTTTATATTGATTTATATATCTAAAAATTGCTTCAGAATTTAAAATAAAATAATTTAATAGATTTAATGCCTTTTTTATATTTTAAAGTTATTAAATTGAAAACGTAAGTGTTAAAGTAAATTTAGAAATTTAAAAAACCAAAGTCATAACTCATTGGGTCGATCCGAACCCGATGATACTGGGTCATGAACATACAGTTTTTCATCCGAACCCGAATTGACCCAAACTCGAAATAACCGGAATTCGAAGTGACCGAATCCGAAGCCAACCTGACCGACCAATTTGCCAGCTTTACCCCCTCTATCTCAAAATGATTTTCTAATTTTTTTTCTTTTTGGTTTGTCTTCAAAAATACTTTCATTTCTTTTTGAAATAAAGAATGCATGTGTGGCAAAATGAGAAGTATTTTATCGAATTAAGAGGTAAGGGAAAAAAATTATAACAGAAATAAAATATTGAAAAAAATATTAAAATAAGAATTTCATGTTTTATTTATTAAATAAGAATTAAAATATATTTACGGTATCAATCATGACCATATATATTATCTAAAGGTATTGTGAATAATCAATATATAGTGTCACATTCGCATAATATGAATTCCAGTGAATAAAAATATAGAGTTTTTATTTTGATACTTTTTGTATATTTTATTCTTATTTAAGATGATTATTAATAAATAATTAAGAGATAATTACTCTCTTGTCTTTACAAGTTTTTTCTAACAATTAATTTTAGACATCTCAATTTCCTTTCTTAAAGAAGAAAAATATGGACATGCAACTTTATGTCTTGCTCTTCACAATAAATTTCACCCAACTTTTCACTTTTATCAAACTATTTTTTTTTTTTTTGTTTTTTCAACACTTGTTTGATTTAAAGTCAAAAAAATAAAGTTTGGAAACAGGTAAGGATATTTTCTTTGGTTCGGAAATAAACTTAATAGTTTGATTTCAGAAAATTTATATAAAAAAATTGAAAACTTTTTTAAAAAAAGTAATTAAAATTTGTTTAAGACTATTAAAATGGGTTTTGAATTTTGTAGACCAAGAGAAAGAATTATTGGTCCAGAGAGTGCCCCATACACTACTCGTGGGCTTGTGGCCAACTAGAGGCCCACCGCTTCACGTGCGGAGTTGATAAAGGAGTGTCTGAGTCGGGTCTCGGACCCA